GAGGTCAGAAGCCAACTTGGGGAATCCTTGTAAGTGAATTGGTGTTCTGTGTAAGGGGCTCATTATCACTTGTTATTTTAGAAGTGCTAGATCATTGGGATGGTAACTATTGTACAGTATTACTTTGATGTCCAACATACACTGCAAAGCTGCATGGATGTTAAGAGGGATTTGGTGAGGTTACTTCATTCCCTACTAATATGTATACTGTACGTATATATTTATGTACATTATAGGGTTAATTCCCCTAATGGGTTGCATACCACATTTGTAGTTTGAAACAGTTAAATCACTTCTTATTTTCTAGCTTGGTTCATATTCATAAGTTGCCGAGTGAAGAGGGTTGGCCAAGAATGAAGGATTAATCCTGGAATCTCATTTTATGGCTAAACCAGGAAGTAGAAACTTCCCACCCCTCCCTCCTCTTATTGGCTAGCTTGGAAGTCAACTCAAACTACAGTACTCAGATTTTCACATGACCTTTCTAAAATGGCTGACCCAGGTGAAGGTGACTGTTGTTTCTAAATACCCTTTAGTTGTTACAGGGAATCATAAATAAGTCATAGTATTGTCCCAGTTATTGGTGTCTAAGGGTAACCCAGGTTTGTACCTCAAGATTTTGGGCTATAATTCACAAGTCATGTACATACAGTAATTCTAGGCTCGGCCATAAAAGGGGATATCAGTGTCATTCTTTCGTATTTCCTGTTGGCATCGCTTGAATTGTATTACAACATTTTGGTAATATCCTTGACTTATTTTTTTTAACATACTTTGATCATTGTAGCTTTAATGCAAATTCTTACACTATCTTATAAGCACAAAACATTTAAAAGTTTAAACACTACCTGGTGTTATTGTCAAGTACAGGTACAGTAAAATCTCCATTAGCCGGAATCCCTCTTAACCGTAACTCTCTGTTAGCCAGAATTTATATTTTCTCGGAATTTTCCGGAAAATTCTGGGTTGGGAACGATTTTCCAGGGGGCGCATTTTATTAAAAATTCCGAGAAAATTTTCCTGTTACCCGGAAAATTTCGGGGATGGGGGATTTTTTTTCATGGTTTGAGAGATGAAAATCGGGTGCATTTAATAGAAATTCCAAGAAAATTTTTGCGGTGCCTGGAAAATTCCGGGGATGGGGGATTTTTTTTAGGCTTTGAGAGAGTCGTCTTGTTACCTGGATATCTCTCCTTCCCGGAAGTGTTCTGCACCAATTGTTCTAGCTAACGGAGATATCACTGTAATTAGAGCGAGTGTTAGTGAAAATTTGAATCCTTTATATTTCTGTTTAATAGTGGATTTTTTACTTTTTTAATTTGAGTAGAGGAGTGGAGGAATTTATACAATACCTTTTAAGCACAATTCAGTTACTGCATACTTCCTGTGTGGAGTCATTGTCACACTTCTAACCTTGTGCAGTACTGTATTCTGTGTGTGTCTCATTATGACTTTTGTACTAATCCAGCCTATTGTCTTCTTACATCCTGCTGTTTTTTGGGTAAATTTATCTATCATATAGCCTGAGATATCTGAAACACACCAACAGTTTTATAATAATTTTACTTTTCTATAATTGATATATCACATAAAATAAACTACAGTATACATTACTTCTAACATGTTATTGCTTGGACTTGCATAGTTGTTGTTTATTAGGTGACCCCTGTAATTTTTGGTTAAGTCTCCCAGATAATTGTCGGGTCTCCAGGAAGTATCCACAGGGTGCCAGATTTCATTCTGAATTTCTTAAAAATGAGAGAGCACACTTTCATGTCGGCTGAGCTGGTGGCATTTAGCATGTTGAAAATTGTCTGCTTGAAATTGTTGTTTGTCCTCCTCCATTGACCAATCTGGCTAAGGCTGATTAATAGCAATTTATGCTAGAAAATATTTTCCATTGTTCTTATAATACTATTGTTTATTTCTTTAAAGATGTGTAAAACTGAATTAGGTTTCATGGGTATGTTTATTTGTGTATGTATTCTTTTCTCACTTCTTGATATCTTGCCTTATACTATATAGTACTTTGATGACATTTTTAGTTTATGAGAATGGTATCCTGTTGTGCAAGTTTGAAGAGCTCAGATTTCAGAATAACAATCACCTGATTACACTTCTACTTTGATATTCATCTGTAAACAATCGGTTTTTATTTTCTATGCTGCACTGATGTTCTTTATGTTTATTCTGAATGTAGGCATCCAGGTATTTATCCATTAGAGTCTTATTATTTACGTACAGTAATTCTTAATATAATGGAAAGAGTATTTCACTTGGGTATGTGCTGAAGGTACAAAAGATTTAATACAGTAATATGCTAGTGATGTGAAGATATTTACTCATCTTAGCCATATTTGCTTTTAATTATTTCTTTCATTGTATATTTTGCTCTCCCTGCTTTATGTTGTTATCCCCCACCCCTTTTCTTTTATTGGGATTAACAATTTTATCAACTCTGTGTGATATACAGGTACAGGGTATTACCTTGTTTCATAATTTCTTGTGTGTACCCTATATGGGTTTTTGTAGCTTTGAAAGTGGTGCCCCAAGAGAGGTAGGTTAATAGTGTACCTGTATGTCTGACATCTCAACTGGGTATGGACATTCTTTGTACAGTATTGACATATCACATGAATTTTAGTCTCTATAAAAGGATCAGAAAGCAATTTGTTTTAATAAAAAGTATAGTACAATATACTGTAATACTTTACGTAGGAAGGTGTGTGGCAGGGTGGCCTTGAGTGTGTTGATGTATAGATATCTGGTTGGATGGATGTACAGTTGCAAGTAAGAATGTGTATCTGTGTAAGAGTCTTTTTTATTTTGTGCTATGCACAGTATAATCATGAAGATTCATAGTAGAACTCTGCTACATGTGATCCCTCATCCATTTTGTTAATTCTGCATTCTGGACAGTTTTTTTAACAACAAAGGGGGGGGGGTATTTCTAGTATAATACAGTTGTGTTTATTTATTTTTTTTTTCCCATTTCTTAGAATATGGGGGCATATAGCTTTTTTTTTTATATCATGAATATCTTTGCCGAGTTTGGTCATCAGCATTTGGCAATTTTATATATATACAGGTACTGTACTCCATACTAGTTATTGTTCCTGTTGAACCTAATTTTGGGGGATGGTTTACACCAACTTCATTGACAGTGTGGTTATTAAACTTTTTCACTAATTTATGTTGCAAAATTAAATTGTTTACAATGAAGCCTCATTAATTTGGCCCTGTAACTACTGTACTAATAAATTAATCAGAGTTTAAACTATTACTTCAGTATTTTGAGTGTGGCCAGCAGCCCATTATACTCACATCAGTTTTACATGCCAACATTTACAGTGGGTGAATGTGCCCCCACTTATTTCATTTTAATTTTCTGATTAACCAGAGTCACATTTTTCATGAAGGATGAGAAGGCTTCTTTAACCATTGGAGTAGGAGGATTAAGTACTGCACTGTGCAAATGTCTTGGGCCTCAAGATTTAAAATAAACGTGTAGTTATTGAGTACTGTACTGTGCTTGGAAACTAGGGTAAAGTTGCAGCAGGTGATTGTTGAGTTTAGCTAAGAGTATATTATTGTTATTTCTTACCCTTTTTACATTGTACAGTACTAGGCCTACATAGGTAGATATGCTATAGGACTTCATGCAACAACATGGAGGTTTCATTGTACTTCTTTTTAAGTTTTGTGTCTCATTGTCTCTAACCTCATGGTGGGAGGGGACCTGGAATTACACGCTGTCCATGTATTGTATGTAACTTGGTACAATATGTGAATACTGTATAACCCAGCAGCACTCAAAGGAGATACCAGTCAATATTTTTTTTTCTTACAGTATTTTATTTCTGGCTGTATTTAGGTGTTAAGGATACTTATTATTATTATTATTATTATTATTATTATTATTATTATTATTATTATTATTATTATAATTATTATTATTTTTATTATTATTATTATTATTATTATTATTATTATTATTATTATTATTATTATTATTATTATTATTATTATTATTATTATTTATGAAGGCCCATGAAGTTGTTATGTATACAGTATATGCAATTCTTAGTGTTATTTCAGTACAATATTAAGATACTGTACAGTATTTTGAACCCTTCCAGATTCACACTTGTTAACAACCCTCCCTGGTTACCATAGAAACACTGTAAAGAATAACTACCAATTTGGGAAAAGTGGGTAATTTGCAAATAATTTAGGCATCTTATTTTAGCTACTGCATCACTTGCCCAAAGTTGATATTGAGCAAAGAGGAAATTTTCCTGCTTCTAATAAAAAATGCCCTAGTTGGTTTAAAACTGGGTTTATAACAAGCACAAGAGCATGAAGAGGGTGAGAATTACCATCTGTTGAACTGTTATCCCTATCATAATCCCCATTAATTTGTTGTGACTCCATGAAGAAGGTGAGTTTTGCCTTTTTTATTTTAGTTGAACAATACTGTACTGTGCAGTCAAGTTGTCCACAAGAGAATCATACAAATTATATGTGTTCTAATATGTGATATACTGTATATGTATCATTTTATGTACATATTAGTTATATTCTGTAATGTTACACTGTGCTGTATACCAGTAGCTATGTATTTTATTTATATACTCTACTGTACTGTACTATTATGTGAAACATACTGTACATGTTGCATTGTGTGTCATCATATGTAAGATTGTTTTGTGGACATCTTGTAAATTATTTATGAATTTACGATAATGTCTTTTAAAGCTGTAGGAACTAGTTCTCTCTCTCTCTCTTTTCTCGTCTCTGTTTGATCTGCCTTCCATTATAGGTTTAGGTGTTAAAATATTAAACATTGTACAGTATTAGCTTGATTTATAGTACTGTAAACACTAGTCCTATTTAATTAGGTACAGTAGTATATATAAATCTTTTAATGTTTTAAAATTAGAATATCCTTTACAGTAACTCCTTATTATTGTTATTTATTGTTGTTATTTTTATTTCAGCCAACAGCTCGGGCACGGAATCTGTCCAGGTGCTATTTGTTGGCTATCCCATGAGGTTGTCGTGTAATCTGACCAACCAGGTGAATACTTCAATTGAACTTGAATGGTAGGTGGGATATTGTTAATACAGAATGATGGTGGGATGGAAAAAGTGCTTCACCTGACTTTAGTTTTGTCATGGAAAACTAGATACATTGTTTTTTCTCCATATCAGTGTTAGTAACTGAAAGAATTAATGATAAGGTAAATTTTTCAACATATTGCTGACAAAGTTTATCTATGGTTACACTTTGTTTTGTTTTTTTCTCTACCTGGTGCAGTACCATGAAGTCTTATAAAACTGATATGAATATTGATACACTGGTTATACAGATGGAAACTTCATTTATAAGATTAAATTTGTGGTGTGTTAGAAAGACAATCTAGAGATACGTATACCATTAAAAAGTAAATGTAGGCGATGCTTCTTATCTCATTTATGATTATTAACCTATAAAGTAAAACCTCCGCAATTCATAAAATTATGAGATTTTACGAAATATGAAGGACATCTCTCGAGTAGGGGGGGGGGGTGAAACCGGTACTTATACATTATCTGCCTCAATCAACTTTAAATGTTAAAAATTTAGGTGCTTGGTCCAGGGTTATCAGACATAATGGCTCAAACACTGGGCAGTGATGGAAAAGCAAGTGGGAAAAAGTTTGTGCGGTAGACCGTTGATGTACTCTCCATTACTGACCAGCATATGACCATGACCAACAAGTACATGTTTATACTGAGTGGGCAGTCGGCGGTTGCATCCCATGGCGACATGTGCGTCATATATATTTGAAAAAGTCTCTTAATGAAAAATTTTGCCAAATATTACGAAAATTGTAATACAACTATAAATTTTTTAACAACAAAACATTTTGCATTATGAGTGATTTTCCATCTGGGGGGTTACGAATTATGGGTTTTTTACTGTATATACGTTGTAGCAAGTCATGTCAGCCAAGATTTTGTATGTATTTATACCCTTGGCCATTTAAATTTTGTGCCCGGTCAAACTCAAAAGAGAACAATCAGGAAATATTAGAAATAACAAAGTGATAATTGGCACCTCCTGGATGATGGCCTATGGTTACTTCCTGCCTCTTCCTCTCAGTATTTTTAAAACAAATTTTTCAACCAGAAATGGGTTAAATTAATGTGGTGTAGAATTCACGGTAAAATGAATCATTGCATTGCAATGTCTAGAATATCTTCAGTCTTGGAAGTCCGTGAAGAGAGATCAAGCTCAATGATTTAAAAAAAAAAATTATGCGAGTGGAATCGAGGCCAGTCAGTCATCAGTGGCCTACAGCTAACTTATTTCTTATGTTTTACAGGGAAGAAGTGTCCCATTTGCCATTTCTAGTTTTATCTCATATATACCTTGAGACATAAGATGGTGAAAAATAGAAAAAATACTGAGTTTGGTATTGTCAAAGGTTAGTTTTAAGAAAATTCATAAATTTGTTTTGAAAATTAAATATACTGTAGTTTGGTGTTCCTTTGGAAATCTTTGTGTACAGTATTGAGAATAAACAAAAGTTAACTTGGGGGGGAGGGGTAGAGGGTTAGGTTTGTTTGGATTCAAAATATATACAGTGCCTGTACAACATTATGCCAAAAACATTTTGCACATAAGTAAATACAGTATGGTATTTTTTCAGGTTGGACAAGTTTCAGTTACTGTACTCTAATTGTAAAATTGTTTAATTTCTTTTTAGCCAGGGGATACCTTAGAGCTGGGTTGTGTGTTTTATCAAAATAACTGTACTGTATAAATTAATATCTTAATTATTTGTGAAATGTAAATGTGAGAATCTTGCATTTGCAAAAGACTACTGTGTACTAAACTTTAATGTGTTGTCAAGTTTAGAATGTACGTACAAAGTGTTCCTTTTCAGGTATAAGGATGACGAGAAGCTTGAAAGTGGTGACCATATAAAGATCTTCCAAGAAAACTCATCACTGTTAATTAACTCACCAGTTCGGGAAGATGTTGGGATTTATAAATGTGAGACAGATTCTGGAATTCCTCTTGACAAGCCATTCTTCAAGACAATCCAAGTCATACGTAAGTCTGAAACTTTTTCATATCAATGAAACTGTTGATAATGTTAATAATTGCAGTCTTTGGGGAAATAAGTATAGTTTTGGGCAGAAATATTCTGAACAGTAACCAGCTAAATTCTACTCAATTTGTAATAGCTACTTGATTGAGATATTGACTTTTATTTTCATATTTCCCATCTTAAGGTTGACTGTTACAGTGGGAAGTACTGTAAGGGATTCTTACCTGTCAGATAAGTTATCCACCCACCAGTGTCAAGGGTCTGTTGAGCCTAGACCTGGAGGCATGGTGAGAGTAATACACAAAAGAAGAGTTTTGTTGCAATGAACCAGCTCCTCTAGGCCCAATTAAAGCATAGAGTTGCTCTCTCTTACTTTATTGAAATTTTGATTAAGGTTAGTTACATAAGAGCAGATATATATCTGAGACTTGACAGTGTGAAAATGGTCAGTGGCCAAGTTATCCCCCTTGACCTCTCAAAGGGGAAAATTAAGTATAGTACATTATGGAGAGAGATAATTAGTTACTGTATGTGAGGATATGAGTACAAGTACTGTGTTGTATGTTGAATACAGGTAGAAAAAACATTCTCCTGAAGTTTGAAGAATTATATCATAGAACTTTTTGATGTGTTCACTGTTAAATTAAAAAGTGAGAAAAAATATTTCTCCCTGCTTAGAATGTAAGAACAACAGGTGAAGTATGGCTAAAGATGACATTTAAATCTCTTCTTTCTAGATTTTGAAATCAGGAGGATGGATAAGTCTATGAATGTAGACATGGAGAAAGACATTGTCTTAATATGCCCTGTGGAGGGTAAGCCATACCCCAATATTACATGGAAAAAAGGTGAGTTGGCACATGCTAATTCTAATGGGTTGACTGTGCACTTCCTGCAGGACAGATAAAAAGGAGATTGGATACTAGCAGCATAAATTAAGGTCACTTAATGCATGTGTTTGGAATTCTTTTTCAGTGATGCCGAGTTGATTAAAGTTTGTGAAATTTTATCGGCTGGCTGTGACCTCTCGTTATGAAAATATGACTTGAGTATTGGAAGTTATTGGTAAAGTTGTTTCTAGAAATGCTTAATTTTTTTGTTTAATTAGGTAATTGATAATTGATGTGATAATTGTGCTTGTAACATTGTACAGTATACAGCATAATTGTAATATCTTTGGAAAGCCTTGTGTGACATTCCTACAGTAGAGTAGCTCATTGACTAGCATTAGGGACCACAAAAACTCTGTTACATAAAAATCATAATGCATATAACTAATTTCATTAGAAGAATAAGAACTTGGGCTGAAGGACCAAATATACACAAAGAAATGCTCAGTAACTGTATTAAACAATTGTAAAAGCTAAACAGTTTGAACAGAAATTGTTATGTTTGAATATAGTACATAATAGATTGATATCCCCATTAGCCGGAATAATTGGTGCTGAACAGTTCTGGGATTGAGAGATTTCTGGATATGGAGACGAATATTTTGATCCCCAGAAAAAATCTCTCATCCCCGAAAATTTTCCGGGTACATATTGGCAAAAGTTTTCCGAGACTCTAAACTATGCATCTCACACGGACAGACAGTCTCCCATTACATTTAGGCTGCGGTCACGAGCAAAAATATTTATGGCTAGCGAAAAAGTGTATAAATTTTTATCCACAGCATCTGTTCTAATTGTGTTTGAGAGATGAATTTGGTACATAATGATCTGGAATAAATTATCTACAAGGTTGTTCAATAAAAGATCCTTAAACAATATATTTCAACACGATATAATAAAAAAATGTAAGAAATGTTTAGACCGGAGTCTATAAAATCAGTTCTATTTAAATTTAGAAACCCCATTTTTTTAAAACTAAAACATACCTGATTATTTTATCTAAAAGTTTAAATATATATACTGTATACCGAACAAAACGAACAAAAATCTATATGACACAGTTTCAAGATCACTCTTGAATATTGGTAAGATCAATGATTGTCATCCAGAGATGGTGGGTGATGATTAAAACTAATAAAATGATTAATTTGCATTATTGGGTTACCTTTCCAGATGATAGGCCAGTCACTGAGCTCATCAACCAAACAAGAATTACTTATGAACCTAATGAACATGATGTCCCAAATTCCAAGATTATCATCGCCAGTGCTGGATGGGCTGACCGTGGCAATTATACTTGTGTCATTGATTCTCTGTCAAAGACATTTGAAAGATTTACCTTTATTAGAGTTAAAGGTAAGGGTGATTTGACTTTGTTTTGTTAAAAATCCTTTTATTCGTGTACTGTATGTGTATATGTAAAATATCCCAAACTAAACCATAGTCAAACAACAGGGTCACTGATTACCTGTTAGTTTACTGGCTGCTAAAATATTTCCTCCAATGGTTACTTTGAACATTTTATTCTAAGTCTTACTCTTTTTCTTAACAGTTTTTTTTATTCCCAAGTCATTTTAGATAAGCCTAGGTTATAAATAAGGGATTGATTCCAAAATCACAGAATACAGTATAAGTTAGTCCTGACTTTCATCTTTGGGTTTTTCAAAAGAAGTCATCGGGAAGAGTGGTGATGTCTCCTACTTTATAACTGTACATGAACTGAGTGGGTCACATATGGGCTGTGTGACACTCATGACTTGTTAATTCCAAACCTATCAAGCAGCTACAGCTTCATATGCAGTAGACCCTTGCCATTCACGAGGGATAGGTTCCAAGAATTGGCGCAAATAGGCAAAACCACGAATAGCAACTTATACTACCTTAGTGCACTACTGTATACTTATACCAAACAACTGACCAGCTGCAGCAGCACTCGTCCCCTCTTTTAACTTATCTAATAATAAAACTTTCTTTGTCAAGGCCATCACTGACTTCTGCCTTTACATTTCACTCCACTAGCATCACTAACACTGACACTAGGCAGTCTTTGAGGGGCCATTTCATACAAAAACAAAAAAGTTTTAAGAGTACAACACGAGATGCTGCGCGGGTGACTCGTTGTGCTGCTGGAAAAGGCTTGCAAGCTAGTCACCATAGCCACCATTTGCTTACTGCAGATCGTTGAAATTGCAAACTCGCAAATGGCTTTTTTTCTGGGCTTGAGTTGTCCAGGGGAATAAGATTTCCCTGGGTTCCTCAACCCTAAGCCTATGGCAAGCATATTTGGGATCAATCTTTCATTTCTATATCTTTTGATCCACCCTACATAAAGATGGAAGGTGAGTAAAGATAATAGAGAAAGAATGAAAATTTTTATTTGCAAGTTGATGCTCCTTTCTAGATGTGTATGCTGCTCTTTGGCCATTCATTGGCATTGTGATAGAAGTCCTGCTACTTGGCATTATCATCTTCATCTTTGAGAAGCGACGAGTCAAGGCTGAATTTGAAGAATCAGACACTGACCAGGGGAATGATCAGTGAGTTAGATTTTCTTTGTATTCTCTGTGTAATGGTTTATGTAAGAAAATGTACTGCTTAATTTTTTGTCTTTATAGCTGTGGTTATTATTTACGTCTTTTTTTTCCCGCCGTACTTTTATTTTTTATTCATTTTTTATTATTTTTTTATTCGTTTATTTTTTGTGGTTGTTGAGGCAAACAAGCATAAAGGAGCAAACTGAACTTATGAAAATGCTCAATATTAGTGTAGGACCTTTAACCCGAGAGTCTGCATCCTTTACAGGAAAAACACAGCTGAACACAACAAGGATCTTGTGCGACAACGAAAGTAAGTAGAGAACAACAAGGCAATATTCACACGACTACAGCTGAATAATTGCGTCACCAAATTAGGGTATAATTTTTTTTTTTCATATATATACCCTTATGAGTAAATGTTTTTGAATACAAATCTTTAAATATTTGCCTCAATCACGCTACCATCTGTGTTATTAGAAACTCTGGTATAACAATATCTATTTCATTTGCAAGTAATTAAAACGTGGAAATTTTTCATTATTAAGAAAAACTAAGATCCACTGTGACACCAGATCTGAAGTCACCGTAGAGCCACTGTCTAGGGCTATCACGGCTTTAGTGGCTGGTAATTTTTTACCTAAATAAATAAAGTAATATGTTAAAGTGGTTAATGATATTATGCTCTTATTTTAAGCCCTTCATTAATGTTGAAGATGGGCTTATATAAGTGATATTTTTAGGCCACAATGATCCTTGCCTTCATCAGCATTAAGGATGACAATAACTGCATTTTTTTTCAGTACTGTATAGCCATTTTTTATTGCAGTATTTCTTCCCATAACTGATGTTATTTTCCCCTCTTTAGTCAGTTTCTTCAGACGAGAGCTTATAGAAAATATACCTTTGAGCCAAAGTCTTTATTAGTGTGTGTGGGTTTTTATGTAGGAATTGCTGCTTGCTATTCTTCTTAGGTACAGTTATTGAAAAATTAATGTCTTTTATTGAAGGTCTTGTTATACCAATTTAGTTTCTACAGCTTGTTAGGTCAGAGAAAGGTGTATTGAAACACCCATTATGGATAATTTGTCCCGAACTTATTAGGTGTGAGCTTTTCAGATTTGTTGTAAAAAGGGACAAAAATATGAATGTTTTTCCAACTAGCTTAATATATATATGTATAATATAATATATATATATATATATATATATATATATATATATATATATATATATATATATATATATATATATATATATATATATATATATATATATATATATATATATATATATATATATATATATATATATATATATATATATATATATATATATATATATATATATATATATATATATATATCTTTGTAATGTCTTAATTTATATGAACACTTTCATGTATTCTAATTTAATTGATAAAGTGTATAGTGTGTTTATCCTTTTTAAAGTGGGTGTCCATAGGTCTGAGGCCTGTTAGAGGCAGTATGGGAACAACACACTTCAATACATAAAGAGATCAGCATAGCTGTCACTGTACTGTGCTGTACCACCTTTTCACTTTCCCACTTGTAAAGTTAGGTACCACTGGGTAAACTGGGGGTGCCCCATTAAGTGACCAGCTATGGGACATGATTGGTGGCTGTTGGATCTGAATATGAGGGCTATACCCGCTCACCTGCTGTACCCTTTTACAACTAATCAGTTAATTAAATATATAATAGTAAGCTTAGTAGAATGATATTTAATTTGTGTAGTTGCACTAGTGAGTAATTATTTGTAATAAGTATACAGGTACAATATTTTCTAGCCACAAATTTTCATGAACATTGCCATCAGTCATGGGAAGAGTCAGGTAACTACTTATTAGCATACAAAGTTAATAGAATTTGCCAAGACTATTCATGCCTAAGGTTGCAATAGTGAATTAACAAACAAGTTATAGCTAACAAGACACTGACTACAGCTGGAATTCATGTAGTCAAAAGATTTATTTACATCATATAGTAACATTAACTCATGAGGGAGATTTTCTCTTTAATTAGTTGACAATTTGAAAAATTCACACATGATATAGGTTAGGGACAGAATGTGCCAATTGAATTTTTCAAGAAATATTCTAAAATTGCCTAATATTCTGTCTATATGTTTATGGCATATACTGTATAGCCCCACTGCATAGTATTAAATATGAATTAAAATAAACAAACTACAGTAGTGACTAGAAGCAATAATTGATCTATTACAGTGAGAAAACTTTATACAATACTGTACTATAAATTGGCTGGAAGTTCCTTTTTCAGTTTCTGTAAGAGGAAAATAAACTGATTATCTAAAAAAAATATTTTAAAGGTATTTATTTAAGCAGATGTACATCATTTGAATTCGTAATAGTATCAGCATTGGAATATCTTTAAAGGGGATAGAGTAGGGACTTGGAGCAAGAGAGTGTATACTGTATACGAGCTGGCAGTGTGCTTCATTTTGTAAGAGCTTCAGTAATTTAGATGTTCACAGAAAATTTTACTGCAATTTTCTTAGTGTAATGGGTCGAAAGGGTGGGCGTTATAATGTCAAGGAGCTAAGCTAATCACATCCTTCTTGCTTTGGAGTTTCCATACTTTAAACCCTGGGGGATAGCAACATGAGGGATGTTGAATTGTTTGTTTGTTTATGTTTGGGGATCATGTAATTCTGTGATCAAAGGTTTTAGTAACTGCGAAAGAAACGAATTTTACGTGTTTAGAGCTAATGGGAGGAATAAAAGGCTAAGTGTTAAAAGGTCAAAATATCTTTCATTGTTATTGGAAGGACACTTGTTTATTGAAGCCTATAATACATGTTGTTTGCAACAATGAGTGTAATAGAAGTAAACGTGTTTAAAGAAAGCCATAATATACCATGCGATGATAGGAATAAATTGATGATCAGTGCTTATGAAGGAGGCCATTGTACACATGGTTTGCAATAGGAAAAATAAAAGAATAAGTATCAACACATTTCACTTGTTGCTGAGAGGCACAATTAAGTAGTAGTAAATAATATCTCATATTATATCCATTATTTATGGTACCGGTAAATATATAATTTGAAGCGCATGGAAATTTTAAGAATTTGTGAAACGATGAGAGTGAGAGCATCAGATATTATCATGTGTAGACAAACCTACATAATTATGTAATGATGTGATGAACATTATTATATTTTATATGGGTAATTGGTTATGTATTGGGTAAAACATCAATTCAGACCAAATTAAGTTGATCACATTAAATGTTAGATGAATGATGTAAAAATAATACGGGAAATTTCAGCCTGTGAATAGTTCTGTGCGGTACTGTAACAGAATCAATAATGCACAACATTTTTGTGTTTCAACACTGAGAAACAGTCTTTCTCATTTATCTCTACAAGACATTTAGTCTTTACATATTGATCATAATTGTCTCTGAATTATTCTGAAATAAAAGTTACTTGATGTTATTTGAATGTAGACATTTTATAAACTTGTTATGGGCAAATTTGTAGAAATTGATGAGTAGAGATTTCCCTACAAGTTTACTTGAAAACCAAAGAGACAGTATTTTAAATGAATCTATTGATAAATTGTCATTTTGGCTTTTGGGGAATCACAGCTCATTATATTTTGTTACTTTACCTTTGCCTTTATTTCGTTTAGATGATTATTCCTTAATTCTGTGTTTTTTTTTTGGTATTGCTTTGTGTGTAATATATACAGTATAAGGAAGAAGTGCCCCAATATTTGTTAGTTGTAGACTTAATTATCTTTGCATGTGTTGCATTTTATATAACTCAATTTAAACACATTTTGATTGTATTATATATTTATTAAAACCCACAGATAATGACAAATTGAGGGAAGAGTGTGTCCGTTTCTGCCTGAATATCCTGAGCTCGCCATGTTCCTCATACGTAGCAGATACAGCTTATGCCTGTATCTGATCAATGATGAAGTCTGCGTTTGAAATAGATCTAGTTCAACAATCAAAGTACAGCACCTTTGCTGTTTGATTAGAAGAAACCTTTGCACTACATTGAGTGTGGATACCTGCTCAATGGTACTGTCATAAACCATGTCAAGGGCTGTTACCTCTTACTAGATTGGGTTTTACTCAGACGCAGATGTTTCTGGAATGCCAGTTATGAATTTGAATTTTCATTGAACTTTTTTAAAATGTATATAACAAAATCCCCTGCATCTGATTAAAATTTCCAGGCATGAGATAGCAAGGGTTATATATGAGTTTACATATGAAAGTTTGTAAGAGGAGAGTAAAACATGTCACATTTGGTGGAGAACTGGAGTAATTGGTTTGGTTCTTAGATTTAACCTTGCAGTCAAGCAAAGATGTATTATTTGACTATGGTTGTTCACTTTTAGTATGTGATAACATAGAGAGGATGTTTGTTAGTTTTCACAGTTGAGTAAAATTTATATTATGAGTGAAAGTTGGTTGTGCATTTGAATGATGGGTTGCTGTAATAGATTTAGATAGTAAAGAAGTTTAGAAGAGAATGAAAGAAGAAACATAGAAATATAAATTAAAGTCAGGTGTTTTTATGTAAGAAATTTTATTAGATAAACCTAAAATGGTGAGAGAGCAGAATCTTAAATATTTGGTGATCAATTAGTTTGAAGATCAGTTGCAGAATTAGACATATTTATATAGATAATTTAATACTGTTGGTGCCTGAAGGAAATAAAAAAAGGAAAAGAAGTTCGTAAGTAAAGGACAAACGATTAGTATTACAGTATAACTGACTTTCTGTGCAGTAATAAGTCTGAGTTGAAGGTAGTTGCAATTGATGGTGAAAACTTTAAATGGGTTGGAGTATGTTTAGGTTTACCTCAGAGCTCAACCCTCAGTTTGTTTCACTTTCATATCTTAAGTGAGCAGTTAAACAACTTATCCTTCACTTTATGTACTATTGACACCTGCTTGTAGCAATCTGTGTCAAGTGAAGAGAATATGATGATCATAAAGATCATCTAAATGCTCTCTACTCACAGGCCTTAGAGAACAGCATATTCTATGAAGCTAAGTTTGTAATGTTGTGGTATGGATACAACATCACCAGGCTTCATGCAAATCCCCTGATAGTAGCACCATCATTCAGTAGGTTTAGGAATTACTGTAACTTTGTCAACATATTGAAGAAGTAGTGAGCTAGGTCTTCCCAAAAGGTAAAGAAATAATACTTACAAACAGTTGAAGTGAACCCAGTTTTAGATACAGCTGTTCTTTCAGGTTTTCAGTAAGCACAACATCCTTATAACACCTAGATGATTATAAGAGAATTTTCACAATAAATGTGAGGCCTACCATGGCCAGATCATCCACATTGTTGATTTTATCTCCATGTTCTCAACCATCAGAGCTTGAACTATGGTGTGAGAGGTATGCCATCCTTGTATGACTTGATAGCACTCAGCAGTTACCGAGTATGTCCCTAACCTAGACTTTGTGGTCAACCACAATTTATGGACTTGACTTTGAATCACCCTCCTCTCCATATTAAATACTGCTTTCCCATCTGGTTCAAGAGGAATTACCAGGACAGGCTCATATTGTATGGGCTGCAGCCATTCAGCTTGCAACCAGTCAAAATATGACAGCCTTCTTTACTCACAACCATGCCTTTCTGGGGAGGGTTCTTGATGATCTTTTAATGTTTTACAAGGTCTAACTTCCTGGTAGACCAGGTCCAGCAGCTTACCTAGGCTTAAACTGTACTTAAGGGCAGGATGCATCTCTCCCTCAGGAGTGCCCAAAAACTGCAAGGTCATACTGTACATATTGCAGTATGACTTAGCAATAGGTGGAATATAATTTAAGGTCAGTTTATTAATTACCAGTCAGGATTCTTACTATTTAAGTGGAAGAATCAAAGGATAATTTAAGAGGTTGGGGACTAAACATGGAACAAACAATGGTAAATTTGAGTGATGTAGTAAATACAGACACTGTCCTGTATATTAACCAGATAACCAGAGTTAGGATAGTAATTTGTTATATCAGTCATTTGGCTGGTACTTTAGCTCATTGATAATGACAACCCTAAAGATACAAATGAGATTTTTTGTAAAGGATAGGGTAGCGGGTTGGCTGTAAAGTTTTGGAGATTAGACACAACACACAATGGTAAGGAATGATATCGTGCCAAGATAGGATTAATTCCTAACGTGCCTGCTTTGTTCCACATGGTGAGAAACTAAGAAAGTTAATAAAACTAATTCATGAAAATAATATATAATGCTGAGGTTGTAATAAAGAGTTTATTTTACCCTTTCTTTCTTCTTTCTTCTTAATTCTTTATTTATGTCTATTTACGCACTTAGTTTTACTCTTTCTCTATATACTCGTGAGATTGAGGAGGGAGGAGCAGCAGCAAGGGAGGCGGGAGCTGAAGGCTGGTTTGTGGTTAGGTCGGCCTCACACCCAAGGGGAGAGGGAGAATAAGGGTAACATGCGGTAACTGGGATGCTAGGGGAAACAGTTAATGGGTGCGTTGTTACTCAGGACTCGCTGTATACCACCAAGACACTTATAATAAATAAACTTTTCTCAATACGGGGTGGGATGAATTATGACACTAAAGGTTACAGTATTTATTGAACACTTTCTATAAAGATTGACGATTATACTTCAAACCACTGACCCTATTTTCCTGGCTAGTTAAACAGGACTCGCATAAGTCACAATATATTTCGTGAAACGAATAAAACCTTGAGGGTAAGATATATATATACTGCTATGCTGAAGACCTGCTGACCCACATACGTCTGCACTTCACCAACTCTAACCAGACTTTGTCTTTGAAAATCGAGCTGGGCACACATTCTAGATTCCAGCCAATCAACAGTTAGGCCTGTGACATCACAATCACAGGTCACTGTGATTGGCTCATGCCTCAGGCTTCTCAGGCACTCCTGGTTTTATTGGGAACACTG